CGCTAATACTGTCACGCTAAATTCGATTGAACTAGATACTCGCAACTGATATATATACTGATATATATATATATATATATATATATATATATATATATATATATATATATATATCTCACTGATATATATACACCTCCCTGAACCCATATAGAAAATAATGTGTACCGAAATTTCTGATAAATTTTCAAATAAGATCTATGATAAATTTCCCAATGATTAAAAATGTTCAAATGATTAAATATTGTGAAACATTAATAATATATCTGTATTTTTTTAATATTTTTAAAAACTCTTTAAAACTTTATTAAAAAATATATCAATTTTTTTGTAATATTATTTAATGAACATTCATTATTTGATAATCAAGGCATGATTTGTTTTTTTTCAGTTCAATTACTAATACAAGCGGTATTTTATCTAATATATCATTAAAATTATAGTTGATATTATTATTTTATTTCCTACATTATCTTTGACAAACCAAAATTTCATATAAACGTCAGCTTTGTTATTAATATCATTAATTATTTATTAATAAAAATGTAAAACAACTGACCGTGCTTTCTTACTAGTTCAACCATTGGGACATTTACTTTACACTTAAGTTATATTTTAATAGATATTTCGCGTACTCAAGCATCTCACGTTAAACATGACTGTCTTACGACGTTTGTGTCTCTCTACAAGAGGAACGAACGCGTTGAGGTAGAGAATCAAACGGTCGCATTTAGTGCTGAACGTGAGATACGAATATAGATCTGGATGTACAGCGAATTCGCTTTTAGTGCGCAGTAATTTAAAACGTCGGACGGTTTTGTTAGCGGAGTATCAGCGCCGCGGGAGGTCGACGAGTGTGGTGTAAAAATTAGGGCGCGTTAATAACGCTTCTTTAACTCAGGCCCCTTTCCTCCGGAGAGAAGAGCCGTCGCGTTTGTGTCTCGCTCCTCGGGAGTGTGCAGTTTATAGGCGCTACATTACGTAGCTCGTGTTACACACGTGAGTCGCTGGTCGTTGTTAAACACACGGGCGCGCGCCTACGAGAGAGTCCGCGGGATTTTAACTGAATAGAACGCAATTTATCGCGCGTCGTTGATACACACCGCCAACGTGAGTAATTACTCGGGGAACGCACGCCGTAGATGAATTCTCGACTGTAGGCCGGCTAGCGGAATATTCCTTCCCGATGAAACTAATCCGTCACTAATGACCGGTTACGGCAACGCGCAAGGTCATCCGATGATTAACCTTTTCGGTACCACTTCTTTGGCGTTTACAAAAACCGTCAAAGATTATATTCTTGTTCGGCTAGTTTAACGCATGTCGATTCTCCCCGCGTTTAATTGATTATTAACCCTCTTGTGTTACACGTGTCGTTAATTATAATTAAGATCTCTCCATTTCCACACTAAGAGAAAATAATGATTGATATAACTAAAATCATAGTATATTTTTGGCCCCAACAATATTTTCTGTTGTTCTAACACGAAAATTAGTATTAGTAACATGCACATAAGGTTATTATATTTACTAACAATGTAGTAGAATTTTATCAAACAGTGGTTTTCTCCGTCATAATTTATAGTAATTATTTCCGTATGTAATTATAGTTACAAATACTAAATATTTTTTTTCGCAATGTGGATTGCAAAACGATTTAGGTGAAGTTGAGTTTAGTGAAGTTGAGAGCTCACCAAACTTTCATAACCGACAGACCGACGGACTTACGCAATAATACTATAATTAAAAGCACTAGATAATAATTGATAATAATAACGCTAATATTAATTCATAATTAATCAATAATAATAATAATAACATAATTATTGGGAAACTCCGTCAATAATGATTATCAATTTTGATAGTTTGGTGAAGTCCCAATCTCACTGTGTCTAAGCCATTTTGCAATCCACTGTACAACGAACTGTAATTCGACGCGTCTACAGACGCAAGGATGAGACTGGCCGAATCCTGGATCCTTGATAGCGCGCTCTTCCGCGCACGAATTCGCCATCCTTGATTCATATCTCGTCAAGGTCGGACCAGTTAACGCGACCGTGCCCCGATCGATCTCGCTACAGCGAGCCTCTTATTACGAGAAAATTCGAAGGCCTTATTTGGTTCGTACTTATCATATGGCGGCGCGTAGCGGTTGGTCTTGCTCGAGTGACCGCCTTATGACGAGGAAAAATTCATGGACCTTATTTAGCTCGCGTTTATCATACGGCGGCGTCGACAGCGGCACGATTCCGCTCTTTCCTCGCTTTTACCTTTCTGCGCGACGTCAAGCGAGGAAACAGACAAGTTTCCTGGCTCGTGAAATCCGGACCGTTCTCGCATGCGTCTAAAAATTAGACGCCTCTGTGCTTCGTGGTGCTTCTTTACTTATTCAACGACATATCTCTTCTTCAGAGATGTCCTAGAAATCTTTGTAGGTTTCAACAAGTAATTTTCTTAAACATTTTCCATTTGCGCACACACAATGCTTTATACACGGAGAAAAATAATTTGCTGGCTCAGCAAATTTTCTGCTAATCTAGCAAAATCTTTTCGTTATTATATGGACAGTAAAAAGATTTGCTAAGAGTACTAATCACTATTTGCTGGATATAATTTGCTGAAATCTAGAAACTATTTTGCTATAAGAACCACGATGGATTTATATAAGCAGTTTTGCTCCGATAGTAAATAAATTTGCTAAGGATACATTATTTTGCATCAATAGCAAATTCGTGATTCTTAGAACAAATACACTCAACAAATGTTTTTTATCCTGGCAAAACTACTTCTGCTCTAATAACAAATAATTTGTAAAATTAGTTACGTCAACTAAATTTTTTTGATATCACTACAAATATGCAGTAGCAACGATGATTTCGCTAAAAGAGCAAAATTATTCTTCTTCGTGTATTCTTAAATCTCGGAGTCTTCAAACTAAATATCATATAATATTGTACTCATTAATTCGTATCTACTCATTAATTCTTGATGGGTGTGTATGTGATTCACTCGTGGAGATTTAAAAAAACTCTTAGCGGACAATCAATAACAAATGAATAAAAATCAGTGAGAGTTAAAAATATAAATCTGCTGGTTTTGCGTTTTTCTTAATTGTCTTAGTCTCAATGCAGAAAGATACTATTGCCCTACGTGACGCTCAGATGTAATCTCATTGCTACGCATGATATAGATAAACGGCTTTCTTCGCATGAAAATGGTCTCTGTTCGACGATTCGTTAGCTACGACACGCGTACACATTTTTCGCACAGCCCCGGGGACCTCTCTTTCCGTCCTTCGTTACCTTCCAATCTCCTCCGCTTTCTTTCCTCGTATATTCGTAACACTTCCATGAACACTTTTATGCACGTGCACATTGAACATTCAGTGAATAATTGACGAGTGCGTGTTCGTTATTCTTGAATAACGATCGATATCACGCAAATAGTGACAGTTATTAAAATTCCCTGGCGAGTTTTTCCGCGAGAAATGCTTCGTAGCGTTTTCGTCATTATGATACAAAAATAACGTAATATACTCCAGCGTTGGACTGGTAGGATATGGCTTTAAGCTCTTGCAATACAGATAAAGAATGATCTAAACTGAATGCTATACGTGACCGGCATGCAATCTACCATATCAATCATTGGAAGCAGAATATTTTTTGTTTACCACGAATTATACACGAATATTATACACGAATATCAAAGTATCTATTAACTATTACGGAAAAAAAAGGCTAGTTAATTTACGTACAGCCAACCGCATTTCAGCTGAAGCAGCCAGAATATTTGGTTATAATAACTGAGTTCAGTTGCTTAGAGTCGATTGTTCCACATTGAAGGAAAAATTACCTTAAAATCAACAAATATTTCTTTGATGTGGGTGCCATTAACATATTTATTTAAATCTAAATTCTTTTTATCTAAACCAAGTATTGTTTACTTAAATCAGGTAAACAATATTTGATTTAAATAAAGAGAATTTAAATTTAAGTAAATATGTTAATATTTACCCATCAAAGAAATATTTGTTGATTTTAAGATAATTTTTCCCTCAGTGCAGTCTCAGTAAGCTACAGTTAAATCATATGTGTCTTCGTTTTTTTTTTCAAATTAGATAAAGACAAATATATGATTTAACTATTAGGTAGCTTACCAAGAAATTGGAACAACTAGCCTTTAGACAACCAAAATCAATTGTCATAATAAAAAAATTAAATATATTCCTAAAAATTATTGTTTTTGTAGACTCTCGATGTGTACGATACTAAAGTATTTTTTATCCAATTTAATGTATATAGAAGTATATTAAGATATAATTATTTCATATCTTAGCATAAAATTCTTTTACAAAAAAAGAATAAGCCTACGAATACTTTTCACACCCATTATATATCGCGTGTTTCATCAGAACAAAGAAATTATTATGTAAATGTGATGTAAATCGAATTACTCTTCCTTCTCAAAATTTAAAATGTTAAGTTGATTAAAATGTTAAACCGATGCGGTAGGGACAAAAGTAATTAGTCAGTACAACGAAACAATTAATACATAATTAACCATCGGTTATTCGAATAAGAAATGACTGCGTAAAAATATGTGACCAATCGGATCCATATAACATTGGCCCCTAATTAAATGACTCATTCCATCAAGAGCACAGAATATTAATTCATTTATAATGCATAATCAATATACGTATATTTTTGGCGAGTCAAATAATCGTCAGTAGCTCGATAACGCTGCGCCGAAAAGGACGCAACGCAATTAAAACTCAAAACGAGACCATAGGTGAGATGATATTTTGGATAATTTTATCGATACTATCAATCAATCGTCTGCAAATTCAATTCATTTTTAATTGTCGTGCTATCTTTGAGTCTCGCGAACACCACGGCAATTTGCAATTGTACTTTGCTCTACAAGTTCGTTATTAAACAATGCAATTATGTTGCAACGTATAGTTTACTATGACAAAAGCTACTTTATGATGGTATCTTTAGTTACAGTTCTGCAGTGCTATACTAAACTCGTGCGTATTTCGAACAATGAGTCCCAACGAGTTTGTGAGTAATGAAGTATCGACGAAAGAATTAGGAAAGCAGAAGAATTATAAGTGGGAGATCGTTTGGTTCAATGTCACCTGCTTCACCCTTATTCACCTCTCGGGTCTTTACGGAGTGTATCTGATGCTCTTCCAAGCTAAATATGTGACTCTCCTCTGGTGTACGTGACTTATTTCTTCGTCTTATTTTGTAATCCCGGCTTTTACACGTTAAAAAGTTTACTTAGCTACGTAGCTACTTGTGCACGTAGAAAGTTCTACATCTCACAAAAGCGGCAACGCACAATAGCTTATATACTATTCGATCGTTTGCAATTTTTAGACGTCGTTTCCACCATCTTCATAATGATGGGCGTTACTGCCGGATGTCATCGATTATGGACCCATCGGAGTTACAAGGCGAAGTGGCCGATGAGACTTATCCTAATGATTCTCAACACCGCTGCGTATCAAGTAAGCTTAGTGTTCGCGTTACACGTCTTTTCCTTTCTACCCACCCGATATCACGCAGCAGCGATCTCGCACCGATAACTCTAATATATCACGTTTATCGATATTACGTATTTTATTTCGTGTCTCGCGCTTGATTTCGTACACTCGTACGAATTTTTCATAGAAAAAATATTCGAAAATTTATTTGTGAGACATGCAGTTTATTCATAAAAATAAACTTTATATCCCACAAATAAATTTTCAAATATTTTTTCTCGACGTACAATATAGATCACTCTTGGTATGTTTTACTCGCCAGGATACGATCTATCAGTGGGCCAGAGACCATAGAGTGCATCATAAATTCTCCGACACCGACGCGGACCCTCATAACGCGAACAGAGGATTTTTCTTTTCCCATGCTGGTTGGCTTCTAGTTCGTAAGCACCCTGACATCACCGTGAAAGGCTCCACGATCGATTGCAGCGACATCGCGCAAGATCCCTTTGTGGCCTTTCAGAAGAAGTACGACGAGCACACAGCCTCTTCTCGCGCAAACGATAATCTAATCGAACTTTTATCATTTTTCCCTCGTCTTAGGTGGTACAAATGGCTGATGCCGACTTTCTGCTTTATCATACCAGCGTTAATTCCCTATTGGTTTTGGAACGAGACATTCTCGTGCGCGTGGTTCGTCAACTTCGCCAGGTATTGCACAAATCTCAACACCAGTTGGATGGTGAATTCCATAGGACACATATCGGGCACGAAACCATACGACAAGTACGTGACAATCCGTTTACGAAGCATCGTAAAATATTTCGCGCTTTAATCGTGAAACCAATAAACTATTTACGGTATCTATATGTAAGCTACGCGTTGTTGCTTATCAGAGTTTACTTTTTAATCGCAAGATCGATCAGACCTACTGAGAACTATGGCGTCGCCATGGCGTCGTTAGGCGAAGGCTGGCACAACTATCATCACGCATTTCCTTGGGACTATCGAGCAGGGGAGCCTGGGATTTTTAAAGTCAACATTACCACGACTTTCATCAATTTCTTCAGTTTTCTAGGTCTAGCGTACGACTTAAAAGCCGCGACTCCCGATATGATAAAACTACGTGCCACTCGATGTGGCGACGGAAGTTATTAACAAGTCTAAACTATATCATCACGAAGAAAATTGAGAGAGGCCCTTTGGCATAAATTCGCAGTCGGGAGGAGAGGGCAAGAAATGGAAACGTAGATCTAAGTGCGATTTTTTAGATTGCGATTTTATACCAAAGAGCTACTTTCAATTTTGATATCATACCACGGCGATATAATTCATAAGTGGTTATATTACCGTTATGTATGCACAGAGAAAGATTTGACATTGCACACGGAGAAAAATAATTTGCTGGCCCATCAAATTTTCTGCTGGTCTAGCAAAATCTTTTCGTTATTATATGGACAGCAAAAAGATTTGCTAAGATTTATTAATCACTATTTGCCGGATATAATTTGCTGAATCTACAAATTATTTTGCTATAAGAACTAAGATGGATTTATATAAGCAATTGCAGTTTTGCTCCGATAGCAAATAAATTTGCTAAGGATACATTATTTTGCATCAATAACAAATTAACGTGATTCTTAGGACAAATACACTCAACAAATTTGTTCTATCCTGGCAACGAAACTACTTCTGCTCTGATAACGAATAATTTGTAAAATTAGTTACGTCGACTAAATTTTTTTGATATCACTATGAATATACAGTAGCAACGACAATTTCGCTAAAAGAGCAAAATTATTTTTCTCCGTGCAGTTGAGAAATAAACGAACAAACTGTCATCGTTATGCAATAATATCAAAAGACGACTGAAAGAAAGAGCGATATGCAATCTGTTCGAGACGTTTCCATTGTGAATTCCTAATAACTGACTATTCGTGAAATTATGCAACGGCGTGGTTGGATATCTCCTGAAGAGAGATGTCTGAAAAGTCAACGTCTCTTGTGCGCGATCCGATACTACCACACGAAGATCTATGTCGCGAACGAAGACGCGCCGTGTACGTGAGTGCATTCATATTAATGTCGTGCAAACGCCATGCAAATTACTACGGAATCCAATCTCTTTTTGAATTCCTGCGCACGATACCTCCCGTCGATTCCCAGGCCTAATATGCGCGAACGTACGGAATGCCGTCGATACCGGTGTCGCGCGATTCGTAATGCACGAACGCGGCACGCGATCAGCGATGCAAAAATACCCGAGAGCAAATCGCTCACCGTTAGCTCAGACGAATGTAAATCGTGGCAGGATGCGCAATAAGATGCTCCCAAGCGATCAGAATTTCGAAAAGCATAAATAGATCGATGACTCGTAGATACGATATTTGCACTCACGGAAAAAAATAATTTGCTGCAGCAGCAAACTACATACGGACAGTTCAATATAATTCGCTATGTTAGCTACTCCTTTTTTGCTGCAGGAGCTTATTTTTTGTTATGATAACAAGAAAATTTGCTCCTACAGCAAGAAAAGTGACTAACATAGCAAATTTATAACATAATTTACTGCTTTAGCTACTTTTTTTGTTGCAGGAGCAGATATTTCTTATTATCATAGCAAAAAAATTGGCTCCTGCAGCAAAGAAAAAGTGGCTAATATAGCAAATTATGTTTAGCTGTCCATATGTAGCAAATCTTTTTTTCCGTGCTATGTTAAATAGTTTACGTCTCAAAGAAACGTTAACTCCTGCGATTAGAGATCGACAAAGTATACGTGAAAGATAGCCATGAAGAAAGTAGGAGTGATTATTTAATATCGTAGTAACCGTTCGCTTTTAATAGCGGCAAAAGTATTCCCAATTAGAAATTTATCCCATGATTCCAGTCAGATTGATTCCAATCAGTTACCTGGTTTGTATAAAGTGATGTTATCGAATCCTAATCACTAATAAGGTTCTAATTATTAATAAGGTTCTAATTATCAGGACATAACTTATCTTGTTCATTAACATCATAGGATAAATTTCTGGTTAGATTGATTGACGTTTGGATGATTTCGGAAGGTTGAAACAAGTTAACAAAAGTCAGTAAAACAAAGTTAAAACAACATCCTTGAGACATACGCGTCCCAACGATATCTCAACTACAATGTATGAAAAGTTGAATCGCATGAATAAGCCTCCACAACTCGAGATTTACGTTTCATAATTTTCCTCAATCGTGAGGCGAATCGTCGCGTCTTGGCAAGCAAATCGGGAGCTGACTTCGATAGGAATTCATCGCGCGTACTTGCAAGTGTCATTCGGGTAACAAGCGTCGCGTAAAGTGACACCTGCTCTCGTTGGCATTCGTAAACGTCGAATGTACACACGCGGGATCGTATAATCTATAAATACGGTATCCCGACACCGCAAAGACACTCGCGTCGTATATTTAGCTGTACCGCTGCGCTGCGACAATGCACTTTCACTTATAGAGAGCTGCGGTTCCCTAAACAAGTAATTGGACTGTATATTCTGTATATAACAACGATATATTAAAATAAAATCATATGACGATTAAATATAAATTGTTATCTTGCGATCCATCGATACCATCAGCAGTATCATGACGAACAAATTTGCGAAAATTGCTCATGAAAACGTGTAACTACTCTCTTAAAGTGAATCAGTGAATAGTCACTGATATCAGTTATAAGTATAGCACTGAGCAGTTTCAGTGCTGTACTTTTAGCTGCAAATCAGTGTATATTTACTGCTTTCAATGGTATTTCACTGATTCACTTTAAGAGATTACCTGATGACATTGATCTCTATTTTACGCGTCATGATTCGTAAAATCGTACATGGAAAAAAAGAATTATTTAATTGGATTAACCTAGTGTCTAATGAAATATGAACGAACCAGAATTCCGATTGAAGTTATCAGAATTCTATTCAAGTAAAAATTTTGTTGATTTGAACAGAATTCTGGTAATTTCAATTTTGAATTTTTAGTCCGTTCATGTTTCACAGACATTTGGTTAATCCAACCGAACTCTGTTTCCCATGTGTAATTATCTTTGTGTAATGGTAATACATGTATGTGTGTGGTTGATATGACTTAAGTACATCAACTACATCAACGTAGTTGCATGATAATCCAACCATTTTCTCTTTCCGTGTATGTAATTAATAAATATCTTACAATATTGTACGTAACACGCTAATGGTGTAACAATTTCTTTTTTAATGTTAACAACGTCCCGCGATGATTTATCGTTCGCGCAAATGCGCATTGAGCGCCGGCGTAATGCCTCTCTCAGATCCGCGCGACCCAATCCGGTGGCGAGACGCGATGAAAGTTCGAAGTAGGTAAACCAGCCTTCGAAATCCGACATCGTTGCGAAAACGGCCTTGATGCGACGAGAGTCACCCACGCTCGGATGAATTATTACTAAATACCTGACAAGGACAATAACGCGACGCCAGTGCCGCAGCAAATCCTTCCTCAGCCCCGTTTTCCCCAAAGTAACGATAGCACGATGGAAAAGTCTTAATTAAAAACGAGCCCGGTCGGAAGAGACGTGGGACGCACAAAAGGCGCAGAAACCTCTGACATTTTATTAATTGACACGTTCGCTACTAACGTCACATATGTGTGACGGCAAAATTTCTTTTTCCACGTTCACATTATCAAATTTCTTTTTCCACATTCACATTATCAAATTAATGTTATATAATCATGTAAGAAAAGGAAAAAAAATACGAGGCAAGCTGTAAGAATAGTCCTCTAAATAAATCGTGGTTTAGCGAACGTGTTAAAGAACTCAACCTACATCGAACTGTATCAGCCAACACGCAACACAAAAGGTGTCGTGTCGGTAACCGCGAACGTATCTGTTAACAGCGTCCCCTTATCAACGCTCCTTTTATCCGTCTTATTGATGTAGGCACTCGGACGAAGTACATTCGCGCGTGCGTATTTACCCGATATGAAGAAAGTATCGCGGCAATTTGTTCGCGCACCGAGATAAGGGATCTGCCAAATAAATGATCACGACGGTGAACGCGCGGTGAGCGTCGTAATGCGCCGTCTCGGCGGCGGGGAAGTCGCTGTCCTCTCCTCCGTTAAAGCGCCTTTCCTCTCACGTACACGTATATACCGGGTGTACGTGTGAGTGTGCATGTCGGTTCGCTTCGCTCGCCGCACGAATCGGTGCCGCCCTGGGTAATGGTTTCGAGCCGTCGATCAAGAGGCCGACGTTCACGCTCCGTTTCAGTGGGACGTCATATTTAAGTGCGTCGCGCTCCTTATGGGTCTCGCGATCGTGTCGCAATCGCGACCGCGTCGTCTCTCGTTAATATTGCCGTTCTCCTGAGAACGAAGTGGGACCATCTCGACAGGAGCATTAAGCCCATTCTACAATAGCCGTAAGAATATTCAGTGAGACGTAACCAGTAAGCGAATTAATCAATCACAGTCTATTATTCTTGGACTGTAAGAATCCCATTGGTCAATTAGCTTACGTTTGACTGCATACTCTTAGGCCCGATCTACAATAGATGGAGTAAGGAATAGGAGTAAGACGAAATGGAAATAATTTATTTCGCTTACTTCTTTACTCCAGTTCCTTACTTCAGCTCTTACTACTTAATTCAGGCTTACTCCATGTGATGTATACGGGCAAACTTTTATTGGAGTAAGGGAGTAAGCGAAATAATTATTTCTATTTCGTCTTATTCCTACTCCTTATTTCATCTATTGTAGATCGGACCTTACGATTATTGTAGAATGGATTTCAGAGCGCTTGGCGTTTCTAGGACGGCAGGAGGAGGTAAGGCCGGCGTTGCGCCGAAATAGACATTTGCCGCGAGTCGATTATTAAATGGGTAGCCTAGCCGTATCATGGGCAGCAGCACGCTGCCTAGTAATCGGAAAACGAAGACAATGGCCGTGCCACGCTGTGCCGCGGGTAAGGTTAATAGCCTCCACTACGGCGGCAGTGCACAAGTGTCTCCTGCGTACACGCAACCTTGTGCGCGACTGATGCACGCACGGAAGGAACACGCTGCGTCTGCAACGCAACGTCACGCATGAGATAAAGTATCATAACGACGATGGCGAGAGGTCGGCTTTCTTAAATGTCCGATTAGAGAGGTATTAAACGGGTATTTATTTCATTATACAGAGCAAGATATCCGTGTAACGTTATTATCCGCACGGAGAGAATATTATGGTTTCTTCCTTATAGAAATTCTGTTCGGTATTACTGAATTCGGTATACTGGTGTTTCCAGAACAGCGCTGGAACAGACCGTTAGTAAGGTCTACCTTAACCAAGAAATATGATAAATTCCTTTGAAAACATGGCAATCTTTTAACATTTCGGTTCCTTAAAATATAAGTACTTGTGAGATAATAGCCAATTACTACAGAATGTCAATCTATTCCTCGGC